ATGTGTGCGGTCCCTGTCAGTGTCCTGATCGGAGAAGCTTTGAGTGCAGAGATTGCCTATTTCCAGCGATCTCCGATCTGTGGGCTGGGATTGGATCCTACTCTGGCTTTTTCTTGTTTTTTTTTTTATTCGAAGTGAAGTGAATCGTGCGGACAATCCTCATCTATTCTCCAGCTTCTTCTATCTATTGTGTATCTGTGGTTTCCCCACCTGGGTGACAATGAGAAGAGATGTACGATTTGGATTGACAGAGCGATCTGAGTCGGAATGAATGTGAATGTGTGAATTGGTGTTGGTGTGGATATTGATGAGTCCAGATTTCGGCATATGTTTCAGAACAGGGATGGGAAATGGAAGTATTCTCTGGACAGAATGGATGTGTTTTAGCAATGATGGTGCCCTGCACATAGACTGATAGATGGGATCGTACATGGATCGGTCGGCCACTTACCTAGAGAGGCTTCTGAAGCAGAAAAAGGCAATAAGGTTCCCTCTTTGGTGACATAGGTTTTTTTTTTGTCCTCTCCATCTGATTGGCCTCCATCGTTCTTGTCGTAGGCTCCTTGGAGGCTCTGACTTCCAAACTTCCTGGCCGCCTCGTGGTGCTGGGGGGAGGCTGAGAAGCTGCCTGGGAGGGTGGCCATGAGAGTGGAGGTGAGTGCCATGCCCTGGGCCAGGCTGGAGCAGAATCCGCTGGGCAGGCTGGGGATCTGATGGTGGGGATGGCTGGAGGGAAGGGTAGGTTGGAGGGTAGCCTGGGACAAGGAGGGAGGGGGTTGGGGGAGAGGTGGCAGGACCACCGGCCTGTATGGCATGAACATGGGGTAGCCCGTGTACACGAAGTGGCCAGGGCTGGGCTGGGGTGGGCTTCCTATTTTTTTTTCTATACTGAAGGCTGTACTGCTGCCCAGGGGACGCTGCATCATCATGAGAGGAGGCTGGAAGGCTGCACTCATATAAGCTCCTGGAAGTCAAGAGGTGCCGGGAGAAGAACAGAGGAGGGGTACCCCGATCAGGGCACACACGGACCGATGTGATCTGGGGACAGGCTGCACTCAGCTTGTCATATGGTCCATCACTTCAATCCCATAGGAGTCCAGAGATCGGAGGGGTCAGAGGTGAGTCCTGGACAAGCGGCTCGTGTCCTGGAGATGTCCCTCCTGTAGTCCCGACAGTCGGCTTCCTGAGTGCTGGCTCCCGGGTCACCTGCAGCTTTTTTCTTCTTCTTCTTCTTTTCCTTTCCTCCTCCTCCTCTCTCTCCCGGCTTCTGCGGCTACAAACTCTTCACCTACTTCCCATTTTTTTTTTTTTGCTACATTTTAGAACCTTCCCTCGGTCACGAGGCACGGATCCCCGCCTGCCATTGGCTGCCTGGCCGGAGGAGGCGTGGCGCCCAAACCTAACCCATCACACACCCCTCCTCCGCCGAGTGTCAGAGTGAAGGGCTGCGATCCCATCCGCCGAGCCGGACCTGTCACCTCCGTGCGGAGCCCATACATGTCCGATCTCCTCCTGTCACCCCATCTGTGCCTGCAATACACTCACAGCTGTCCCTGGGCAACCTGTCCTGTCATATACACCCGATATCATATACTATTTATATATATACATGTGTGGGGGTCATCCATCCGATACCGGGGTCATTGGACAGACCATGTGCCATTTGTAGCTGCACCAGGCACCGGTGTGCACGGTCTGATTCCAACGGGAAATTCGTTTTAATTGTTGCGTTTGTACCGCTTTGTGTGCGAAGAAATCGAACCCGGAGAGGAAAGGAGAGGCACAGAGAGCTCCATAGATATCGGGGCACCAAGCTGTCAGATCCGATGATTCGTTCATGATGTATAGAACGATTTCATTGCTTCTGATCGCCACTTTGTGTAAGAATTGGCCGATCACATTCACTTTATACAGAACCAGTAACAGGACAGTCAGCGCCGGACCTTTATTTTCCTTTTATATATATGTGTGTGTGATATACAGTGCGAGACATGTCCTATATACATATATGTACACTTCATGGAGAGGATTTTTTTACATTCAAATACATCATGTTTTCCCTTCCCATGTGATGACCATCATACCTAGAACGATGACTATTATCTGTTGGCCCAACACATTCCCCTGTCCATGGAGGATTATTACAGCCGATATCATGGAGAACATATCGCCCGATAAACCGATCTGGATTGTATTGTCCCCATAAACAAAACGATTTATTACCGGATGATCTTTAACTGATCCCCAGGTTATCTTTTTCATCTTTCTCTCTCACTTTGGAAACTTTCTTTTGTTTCTCTGAGTTATAGGAAATATTGTTCTCACAATTCTCAATTCCCTGAAATTGTTTGCCGAATAAATGTTTTTTTTGGACTTCATGGACATGTCAGATTATTAGACTGGTGGGGGGCGACTTGTTCTAGTACTTGTACTGCTGTGATGTGTAGAAAACCACCACATTAACTATACAGTATATATATATAATCAGCTTTTTTATGTGTGTACATACCATATATTTTTTTTATATATATCATATATATATATAAAATATAGTATATATAGTTTTTACATTTTTTTATCTATTTTTCTAATATGTAACACACAAATCTATCAATCTCTCTCTTTCTTTTTTTATCTGTCTAGTTATTTCTATAAAGCAATCAATCTCTCTCTCTCTTATACATATATATATATATATATATATATATTTATATATTTTTTATCTATCTATCTATCT